GCCGCCAACGACGACGACGATAGCTAGCGGCATGGATCGCAGGTGCATGCGTCCTACGACGAAAACCGACGTCCCGCAATATAGCGGCAAACTCCAGCTAATCGGTCGACCGAGGCATGCAGGCATGGTTTCCAGTGTACATATTTGATATTGGACATCCACGTTATAGTCAACTGACACCAGTCAAATATAGGTATCCGCTAACCAGTATCACTTAACCATATCGCGTGCTCAGGCTTAGAGCTCTTAGAGGTCACCTGCTTTTTTAAAGTTAACCGCTGACCAGGAACTGGTTTTTCGATTGGACTGCAGGCTCAAGCCAGGTTAATTTATTTATTTAGGCTTTGCTAAATCTATATATATTATCAATTGCAGTATCAAGTGCAATACGAAGTGCTGTGTGACCTACACCATGAATTGTAGTGTCGACTGCATTCTAAATCTCAGGAAACTGCAGTATGAAGTGTAGTATGTACTAAAGTAGGTATTGCTATCAAGACAAAGATCAAACCTTTCAAATCCAAACTTATTCGGGTGTTATTGTATGGTTGTGAAACCTGAAGAAAAACCCAAACGGACGAGAAAAAGCTGGACGTGTTCTTACTTTAGAGCCCTTGTCGGATAAAGCCTGATTAAGCTTTGTAGCTTTTTGGTGGCTTTTTTCTGTTTATATTGCTTACCCTGCAGTCTTGAGTTTGCAATATCACAATACCCAAAGCATAACCAGTGAAAAAAATTTTTACACAAGAACATTTAATACTTCGGTTAACTTTTAATCCCGGGTTAGTGTTAACCGGCTTTCGGACAACGCGGCCCTGAGCAGAGGCAGCATCGGTTGCCAGAAGACGGGTTGGCCTAGAGGCAGAGAGCCTAGAGGGCCAATACTCTACAAGGAGAACCGGCAAATAATGATGTATTGCTGCCCTGTATGAAGCATGGTATCAAGGGCATTATGAAGTTCAGTATCTACTGGAGTATTACGTACTGTATCAGTGTCGACTGCAGTATCAGCACAGTCTGAACTGCACTTTCACTGAAGTGCAGTATCTGAACGTTCAATAAAAACTTCGTCAAAAAGACTTAACGACAAACATCATTATTGTTTGCCGTTTTGTGGATCAATTCATTTGAATAGCCCATGACTCAATAAAATTACATTAATCTGTATAAAGATTTTACTTTTAACAGGCTACAATGAAAAAAAGGATCTAAAGAAATATAAATAACTGTCCAAGTCGCACGTTTATATTTTAATTCCAAACGGCAAGTGCATTGTCAAACAGTCACGTGATTAGCGTTAAGTCACAATTTACACCTTAGAAAGTGTGCGCATGAGAGCAAAAGCCACCGTTACGAAAAAAATCGAAAGGGAGGCCACAGTCTAAAGATTTAAATCAAACGATATGACAAAAGCCCTAAAAATACTCTTTTGGATTGAGTCAAATCGAGGATGAAAACCACTTATTTTCTACTGTTTCAAATACTCGTATCTCTAACCAGCTATTCAAATCCATCAAAACCAAAAAAATAATAAAAAATCATCTAGTAAGCAGTTGATAATCTCTTCCACTGGAATATTTTTTATTTGATCATACTTTAGCACAGATTTACATGACGAATCAGCGTCATCTCAGAATTGTGTGACATCTATGGTTTTATTTTCCTTTATTGGTGCCTTCATTGATTGGTGTTTGTTGCTACTTGGCTACTCTCTCCGGAAACTAGCGTTGAAAAATTGGCAGAGTATACTCCTTTGACGTGAGATCTCTATATATATTTATAATATGTAATGTGAAATTATTGCATTTTTATTGATTCTTATTTCTGATCAATTGCTGTACAAATGCATAGGTGACGTCTTTAACATTGTTTTTGTTTCTTTATTACATAAAACAAATAGATTCCACGTTTCTGTGTGTCTGTCCAGTAACTGATCACAGAAGACGTCAAAATGTGGTAAGAAAATTATCGACACACTCGCTATCGCCCCGTGTGTCGCTTTTTTGTTCTTATACCACATTTTGAAGTCATCCGTGATCAGCTACTGAACAGACGCACGGCAGCATACAATCTATTTAAGTTGTTGAATACTTTCTCAGTGGAGAAATTGTCGTAATGCAGAATCTTGATGTGAATGTTTCGGTGAGACCGAAAGGCCCACGCTGAGCGGAACACTTACATGCTTGAGACCAGAAAGATCATCCCACGCTTCTCTAATGAAGAGTCTAGTGGAAGTTTGCTTGGCAATGGTGTTTCACAGCTGGCATCAGTTAGGCGTAATTGCTGCACAATACCTTTCGTCTTAGTGTCTCTTTGCTCCCTGCTTCCTTTTTCCTTCGCACAAATTTCTTTGAAGAAATGTCGTTAAATATGAAGCCAACCAAATTGCTTTTGGCGACGCGGCGTCTTCCTTGAGTCGAAAAAATAATCGTGAGGCGAACACTTTAGCATTTTTAATTCCAGCTCGAAATTTTGGGATTTCATTAGCACTTTAATTGTTTCAATGTGCCACCAAATTAAGAAAGTTGTCAACTCGGTATAGAAAAAAATAAATAAATAAATAAAATAAAATAAAATAAATTAAAATAAGCAGAGTTGTATTTGTTTCTAAGACCTACAGCGATAATTATAATTGATACTCTGTTTGTTGACTTGTCCGTATTTTTTGCCCTGCAAGAAGACCAAGAGATTCTCCTACACTCGGTAAAACGTCTTGAGCAGGTTATAAGAATTGTACTTGACTGTTTTGCCAGACGCTGAGATTAAAAAGTACCATTTTTTTAAAGCAAGGCCTCAGCACAAATGAAATAAATAATATGAAACAAAAATAAGCAAACAGTAGAATCAGTTGAAAGTTGTGTAAGGATAAGAATTGCCCTCTCAGGGTTTTCTTGCTAGAGATTGCGCAAATTAAAATTGCTCAAGGAAGGACTTGATTCAAATGAGAATATTTTGGGCCTTACTATTCACAGACCCCAGGTGGGATGAAGAGAGGATTCCTGCCTTATTTTGCGCTAGAATAATGGTCGAACCTAGGAACCCTCGTTGAAAGAGATAGGCTTACTGTGACCTGTTTGGCCAGTCAGTGTTACAACATATTGAGGTTAAAGCGCCACATCCAGGAAAAAGATAGCCCTCACAGTTAGTTGCCTTAAAATCCGTTTCGTCGTGTTTCAAGTCCGACTGAAAAAATAGGGATACAAAGAACATGTTTTAGCCGCAGTCTTGCATAAGACCATTCATTACGCGAGCATACAGAATGTGATTTTTTGCCAGTTCCGGAGGTATTCCAAAGAATGGCTGTATTGCGGCTTGTTTTAGTAAGGTGGTTGAATGAGAACTTTAACTCCTTCGAAGAAAGTGATTCAAGTGGAGGGAATGTTCAGACTTATTTGTTTCTGGTGTACACTGAAATTGGCCGACACATTCTTTTTTCGTTGGAGTACAACTCGCTTTAACGCCCGACGGAAATCTTTCTTAGCTAATGTGCACAGGATCGTGTTTAAAATCGGTGGAGTAAAACCAAGAAATAATAGCAAACGCTGAGCCCAAAGTGGCATTGGAGACTGTTCTGAAGTGTTCATGTAGTCATCAATCATCGCCACGAAGTAGGGCAACCAGCAACCGGCGAAAATCACTATTGTGATCAACAAAACACTTCGTCCGCGCCACTCATGAAGTAACGATCGAGAAGGTTGATAAAGATTCTTGCTGGCTTGACGATCAGTTTTGTTACTTTTACAAGAAATTTGAAAAATACGTCCATAAATATAACACATTAACAACAAAGGTACTGCAAAAAACAAGACAATACAAGCTATGCTATACTTTCTGTTTAAGTCTTCTGTTATTTCCTCATATTCGCTGAAAGCAATCTCATAAAATAAGTACCAAGACAATTGAATAACAGAAGATAATAAAGAAAATAGCCAAACAACAATAGTGGCGACGATTGCTCGCTGTTTGGTTACGAGAGAGTGGTATTGCATACCGTGAACTATAAAAATGTAACGATCACAGTTGATGAGCAGAACATGGCAAACTGAAGAGATGGCGGTGAACCGAATAAAAATGGCCGAAGACACACAGACGTTAATTAGGTCCCTCACCAAGCAAATGACAAGAAGAGGAATTCCCACCAGACCTGACATGAGATCTGAAAGCGCCAGTGAAGCAAGAAACATGTTGGTGATTGTTCTCAGTGATTCCTTTTTGTGGATCAAGAAGATTACGAGGCCATTAACTACAATAATCAGCAGGCACATGAAGGACAAAGTTACTATCAACGGCACGGGAAGGAACTCTGTTTGTTCAGGATCTGTTTTGCTGCTTGAATTATTTTCTCGATAACTTGAATTTGACAAAATGGATGATGAGTTAAACAGGCGAGGCATGTTGAATCTTCGCACAGTTTCTTCTGATTCCACAATATTATGTCCTTGTTTAAACGAAAAGTGGATAACTGTAAGGTGTAATCGAATCCAGTACAACAATAACATTGACGGACGTAAGCGAAAACAAGTGAGAGCGTCTGAGCAAAGAAGCAAAATTAACATTTCTCATAAAAAGCTTTACGCCTTCGAGGTGTTGGGAGATATTGAAAAAAAATCAAGAGAGGCTTCATCAACTTTAATTGGCATTCTGCTGTGAAAATGCTTTCTGTCCCATGATTGAGCGATGTTTTTTTTTTTTTTTTCATTCCGTATAGAAAAAATGTTTGTAATTTCTATTTGACTTTAAATTTTGTTTCTCTAACTAATATGTTTTAAAATAACAACAACTGTATGAAAAGTGAAAATTAAAAACGGAAAACGCCAGAAACTGTTTTATTTCAAAACAATAAATCAGTCTTGCGTGAAAATTAATAAAAAATATTGCTACAAATATCGAACAAGCTGCTATTTTGGAGAACATTGAAGCGAGCGAAATTGACGAGATCCTTCTCGTTTTTTATAAAGGATGGCCGTTGATAATTATAACGAAAATCTAACCTGGATTATTCATTGTTTATTCAAGATACAAAAACAACTTAACAAAGTATATCCGGCTTAGAGAATAACATATGTTAACAAGATTTTTTCATAAAACAGTTCCTTATGAAACAGGACTGTGCAAATTGAAAGTAAGTAAACAACAACAAAAATGACTTGAGATTTTGTAAGCGAGGAGTTCAGCTTTCTCTGACAAGCAAGCCGTTCAGAGAAAATGGGCTCCGATATATAAGTTTGCTTGATGGCTATTCTTTCTTTTGACTTCTGAACATTCACTTCATTAGATGTGGGCATATCAAAATCTAAAGCTTGTAAAGAAGTGCAGTAAAGCTTTTAACCTGCAAGTACATACAAAATTAAACCGCACACAAATGAGGAGGGAGGCCAACTCATGCAGCCATTTTCCATTTATAGAACACCAGGCTTCATTTGGGGAAATTAACAAAAAGAAAAAAAACCTTTTTCCTCGAATTCATACTTGTGCAGAATAAAACGTTAAAAAAAATCCTGTTTTCTTATTGTGCATGCTTTTCATAACCAGATGATTAGTATGACATTGTCTAGGTTAGTGGGTACGTTAGACACCATCACCCACATTCATATGTCCTTTTAAATCGCATATAACCATGCAGGAGTGACAAGCTGAGTTCATTTTTGTGGAAATGGAACGGTGTTTGTGAAGATGAATTATATGAGCCGGCTTTTGACAGAAAATAATGACTGCGTGATGCTCATTTGAAAAATCTATCAGGGAATTCCTAGATCAGCTTCAGTAAGACATTTTAATTTGTAGGCGAGGTACTTTTCTACAGTAGAAATACCGTTAGGAATATATCTTTTAAACTTAAAACAAATTTACAAAAGGCAGACAAACTTTTGGAGATGAGATGTAACGAACGAATAGTCNGCTCCTGATACAAGTCAGTGACAAAAAACGGCACTTTTATCGATTATGCCCAAAAATATCCGTATTTGTGGAAAGGCCTAATTCTACCTTTGAACACGCTTGATAAATGACCAGATGATAAATCAATAATTTTCAGTTAAAGGAAGTTTATAATAATTTTTTTCTCATATTCCAGGAACTTTTAGACATATTCGTTCGTGGTGTACCTCAAAATCGGCGAACGAATTCTTCCTTTTCCACTGGATTACTATTTGCTTTAACGCACGACGGAAATCTATCTTAGCTAATGTGCACAGGATCGGATTTAATACAGAAGGAAGAAAGCCAAGAAAAATTAGCAAACGTTGCGCCCAAGGTGACATGGAAGACTGCTCTGAAGTGTTCATGTGGTCATCAAGCATCGCCACGAAAAATGGCAACCAGCAGCAAGAGAAGATAACCATTGTGATCAACAAAACACTGCGTCCTCGCCATTCATGACGTAACGATCGAGAAGGCCGCTGAAAAGTGTTGCTAAGTCCACGATCTCTTTCGATACGTTTAAAAGAAATGTAAAAAATACTTCCATAAATGTAACACATTGTTATTAAAGGAACAGTAAAGAATAACACGATGCAAGCAAGACTGTACCTCTTGTTGTGATCTTCTGTTACATCTTCATATTCAGTAAGGGCAATGCCATGAAAAATGTACCAAGACAACTGAACAAGGGAAGATGCCAGAGAAAGCAGCCACACAAAAATAACGGCAGCGATCGCTCGCCGTTTGGTTGCAACAGAATGGTACTTCATGTAGTGAACTATAAAAATATAACGATCACAGGCGACGAGCAGAACATGGCAGACTGAAGAGATGGCGGTGAATCGAATGAAAATGGCCGAAGACACGCAAACTTTCATGACATCTTTCACCGAACAGATGACAAGAAGAGGAATTCCCACCAGACCTGCCATGAGATCTGAAAGCGCCAGTGAAGCAAGAAACATGTTGGTGATTGTTCTCAGCGATTTCTTTTTGTGGATCAAGAAGATTACGAGGCCATTAACTGCAACAATCAGCAGGCACACGAAGGACAAAGTTACGACCAACGACACAGGAAGGAACTCTGTTTGTTCAAGATCTGCTTTACTGCTTGAATTATTTCCTCGCTGACTTGTGTTGGAACGACAGGATGATGTATCAAGTAACTGGCGCATTTTCATAGTTTTCTGGATTTTCCAAGATATTTTTCCCTGTTTTTGCAAGAAGCGGATGTTCAATACAGCTGATCAAACGATAGTGGCCACGGCAAGAAGTCAAATTACCATTTGTCATAAAACGCTCCGCCATTAGCAGGTGGTAGAATATATTCAAAAATGCAAGAGCGTTTTGATTAAATTAAATGACATCCTGCTTTGGACATATGTTCTGCTTGACGATGCACGATCGGTGTTTTTCATGATGTGGTAATGATGTTTTGCAGTTTCCTTGAGTGGACCCGATTTGCTTGTGCAACCAATGTTAAGGAGGAACAATTCTATGAAAACAATATAATATTGGACGCGGAAATTTGTTTTTTCTTTATCAAAACCCGCACTGAAAGACTGTTACGCAAAACATTATTAAAACGATTACTTTTAGAGGATATTAGATGCAAATGTCAACCTAACGCGAACAAACAAATTGTTAACTTCTAAGTAAATCGTATTTATGTGTATTAAAAGAAAAGAAGAAAATAAAAAACAAAAAACAAAAACCGCCAGTAAAATATGCGCTCCTCAAGTTTCCTCGCTACATTATGTTTTACGTTACTGAACTCGGCACCATTAAAAGAAAAAGTTTATTTACAGGAAGTCGACTTTTCTTCTCGAGAAAGTTTCATGTGATGTAAACAATGAAAGTTGTTATTTATAATTAACATGTCCGTGTCAATAAAAAGACCTTTCAGAACATTGGCATCGTTTATTTGTTGTATTTTCCCGTTGAGAACACAGCCAAAAAAAACACTACTTTGAAAGAAATTTTTTTTTTTTGCAAATAGCCCCATTAAATTTGCTATTGTTTTCTCTTTTAGCCGTTATCTGGGAAAGTGTTGAGCGATTTTAAAATAAAAAAAAAAGATTAACATCTTGTGTAGTTGCGCTACTTCGTACACGAGATTAAATTTCCGGTAAGTTAGCAAATGTTTTCCCTTCGCTGATGATGGTTTGAAAAAGCTGCACGCACATCTTGAATGACTTAAATTCATTGATCTTAGAGCTGAAAATAGGGTTGAAGATTTTGCAAAGCAGCTAAATCAATTTAAAGGCGCGGGTTAGTGCAATCATAAACCACTATCGTCAAACGAGGAGTCTTCCTCTACACCGCCTTTTCAAGCGTGGCGCCGAAAGAACTTACATCAGCCTTCGTTTTGTATTACTGCGCCTTTCAATAACATGCGGACTCTAAAATTGAAAGCTCAACCGACAAATGCGGTTTTCGCTACCGTCAATCAAGTGTTCGGCGGCTCTTCCCAGCTTCCGACTACTGCCGAGCGCAATGGAATCAAATCGTTGAGCACAGTTCAGACAACGAAAAAGTGCTCGGCAGTAGTCGGAAGTTGGGAGGAGCAGCCGAAAATTTGATTGACGGTAGCGAAAAACGCATTTGTCGGTCGAGCTTTGAATTATAGAGTCCGCATGCTATTGAAAGGCGCAGTAATGATGGGTTTTGTGTGTCGTGGACATTTTCCCTGTTTTGTCGTGAGCTCAGCTTTCGCATCTCGTTTTATGGGTAAGTCTATTTTCACTGTGTTTCGTATTTATGATTTATTTCATTTATTGACCTTTTCATAATCATGGGTAATGTATGAAAACCGTAAGAACTGAGTACTTTACATGCTGCTGATGTCGGAGGGTAGAGGTTGCTTTCCATATAATCGCTTGAAAAGGTTTCGTGATCGTTGAAGATCATATGGGAACAACTCCTCAGCGATCGACCAATTGTTGCGACAACGACCGCTGAGTTAGACCTCAGTTCCATTCCAGTGATCGTAGCGACCGTTCGGATTTTATGAAAACCATTTCGCAGAGACAGTAGCGATCGTTGCAAATAAAAATATATCAGTATGCATCGGTTTTGATCCAGGTCCTCTCGGGATTTTTTTTTCTTATTCTGTAGCGATTGTGGTGATTATATAGAAACTGGTAAGCGTACGGATCACTTTTTTTGTAGCGATCGCAACGATCATATCCGGAAACCATCATTAAACCGTTCCACTCTCACTCAGCGACAGCCATGAAAAACGTTTGTTAACAATTCGTTACTCTACCTACTACGGACAAATATGATCAACGTAAAAGAGTTTAGTTTGTTTTTCTGCGATGTTGAAAAACGTTTCATTTTCCCAGCGTGATACATGACGAAAAAGATTGTCAGCCAGCTAAAAATATTTTCAACAAATATGACTAACGTATGGGAGTTTTGTTTGTTTTTTATTGCGATGGTGAAAAAAGGTTTTCCTTTTTCCTAGCGTGATGACAAGGAAGATTTCCAGCCAGCTAAATCAACTTTTACGATAAAAAATATATAGGAACAGGTCCATCGGGTGCCCCTGCTCATTCGGTGAACCAAGTACCTGTCTTAAGTTTCAGTGCATAGAGGATGACAGATAATTCGAGTATGATAATTGTGTCAGAATATTCAAACAACAAATGACATAACTAAGTCGGAAAAATGTAGTGATATCTTGGAAGGAACTGAACCATGACCATACTAAAATGTGCGAAACAAAAAGTAATACCCATAAAAAAGGCAAAGTTCTCGGCTGGATTGTAGTACTTCGTTGAGAGAAAGTGCCAGGCTATTCATATAATATGCGTCTTTGTATTGGAGAAGATTCCAATTGCAGTCGCAGTCTTATACTGTTGTGTTGTTTTGGACTGATTTTGTGAAATATTCTTTGTTACAAGCTGAATATAATCTTTGTCAGAATTTTAAGTATCCGGTAGATTACCCAAATTGCGTATAAATGTTCTACTAAATGATCTATCCTGTACATAAGCGAAAAAACCTTGCAACTTCTAAAAAGCACTCAACAAAACGACTAAACTGAGTTTGTAACGACACCAAAAACAAAGGCGAAGTATATCACCGTTGAACAATCCGATGTTGT